TAAAGGTCTTTTCCAACCTAAATGATTCTATGATTCTTTTGTGGCCTGCTTCAGACTGGCTCACCTGGTCCATTGGCCTCAATGTCTGTTAGCAATGGGAGTGCATCAGCTAGTCTTCCAGTTCAGCTTCCCCTAAAAGAAGTCAAATTTGTACATTCCAAGATGGTTCTGAAATTAAAATTGAAGCATGGTAAATGGGGACTGGCAAAGTTGCTTCAAAAGCATGCTCATGATCCAAGCGAAAACACTAATGTAAATGTAAACTGACTGCTCCTGCAGCAAAAAAACCCCAATGTTTGATTTGCTTTCAGAGTGAACTACTTTGTGTTCTTAATACAGCAGAGCATTTAAATACTGTTCCATTGCTTCAAGGAGACCACATCAGTGGACACATGCCAGGGTGTAACTGGCTGATGGCCTCTGATAAGAAACTCGCTTAAGATAAGAAACACAGTTTGATGGTGATTCACTTTAACTAGTGGTTACTGGTTGACTAGCTGATGATTAGTGGAGAATCATTTACAGTCATTCAGAAGATGCAGCACGTTAATTCTGCTACTGGCATGCCAGTGATTTTAGCAACAAAAAGGAGGAAAATAAGTTGAGCTGCACAAAATTCCAAAAGCTTTGAGATTGTCTACGTTTTCTCTCATCAAAACCCTGCATTTCAAAACTCTGCTAAAACCAAGAAATCATGGATATATATTTCTGGACATATAAATGAATCTGACTCTGGCTGTTATTTTTTTTAAAGGGGGAGAGGGGCAACTACTGCAGACCTGAAATAATTTTAAGTGTTTTAATTGGAGAGGTGTGTTTCATACAGCTCTCTAGAGCGTCTTTCTGTGTCAGAGTCACAGCATATTACAATACTATATTGTGTAAATACAGAAATGTGCATTTAAAATAATCATCACACCTGGTGGAGATGTTCCTTGGCCCAAACATGTCAGATAAGCAGTTTTCATCCAGTGGAAGCATAAACCTGGTGTGGGGTCTCTCCCTCCACGTTAGTCACTCATGCTTTACTAGGTGATATCATGCATAACTTAAGAAATCATTTGCTGTACGTGTAAGTGAGCTTGACTTCCAGATTGAAATGTTAATGCATTGGTGGGACATGGTAATAGATTGATTCTGTTGTGGCTATTTATGGCGGTATGAACTCTACTAATGTATTCTGTAATTGAGACGTCTCAGTTAATTTCCATAAGCATTTTCTCTGTGGAAGCCCTCAAACTGCATGAAAATGTTTTTATAGCTATGATTATTTTACTTGGTTGATCTTGTCAAATTTGTTGGGACTAGAGAATTCACTAATGGTTTTGGCATAGATCAGGTCATTTTGTTTTGTTATTTCTACGGGAGTGTTCTGTGTGTTTCTCCTCACCCCAGCTATTGATGTGACGCAGTAAGGTGTACTGAAAACTACTGAAATCTGGTTTCAGTAATAGGAAAAAGGTACAGGAAAGGATAAAATGTATTTTGTGCTTGCTGGCTAAACCCCATGATGTATTCTCATAGTTGTGGGCTCTGATTCATAAAGTTTTAATCTGTAGCTAGCCCACTCATGAGGCATGTACCTTCATGTCTCGAGTCTGGGTGGTCTTATGATCTCATTGCAGATTAGAAACAGAGATCGCTTTAGAAATGAGACTGAGTGGACTTTAAGATGATGGAAGCTTTTAATTGAGCTCAAGTCATTTCTTAGCTATTCCATTGTATTTTGTATGACACACCTTAAATTGAGATATTCATACTGTGCTTCATGGCTATTGTGGGATTTTTGGGGGTTTTGTTTTTTTCTTTTTCAAATACAGGATATGGGCATATGGTGACTGCAGACTGCATGGTTTGCTCTGTGTAAACTCCCTGGCTCTGGCCTAAGAAATGAGGATAGGGTTTTCTTGTTTTTTTCCTTTAGATGCAGTGCTTAGCTGGAGGCAGGCGACCAAAGTAGCTTTAATAAGAGGAAGTCCTTACTGCCTCGAATTTTTTATTTGTGTGTTATTAATTTAATAAAAAATGAAGCTGTGACCCTGAGAAAGGGGAGGCAGAGGTTAAGCAACTGTTACCTTCTGTCTCATGGCACAGGAATCGGAGTCCCTAATCTGGCATCCTGTCTTACTATCACACTGCACCCCTTCAGCTCTCACTCTACAATCACACAGACTGGAAGTTATCTGAGTATAGGGGGTTCAGTAAAGATATGTCTGTGACTAACCCTGATCAAACTCAAGGCATTGTTCTCAACATCACCATGAAGTAAATTACAAATAGTGACATAAGTTCACATGGCATGCAAATCAGAAATTCTGTAAGTTAGCAGTTTCATAGACTATATGAATGTTCTTTGATCCTAAATTCTTGTTTTGAATTACTAACCCTCAAATTTGATCTGTCACAGCATGATTTAAATACAAATATAGGCAGAAGTTATTGTATGAAATGTTGCAAGTATTGCTTAATAAACTGTGGAATGTAGTAAGGTTATTTACAAACATTTTGTTGGCCTAAATGTTAGGAATGGTATCAATGCTGGCCTAATGATCTGCTATAGATCCGCCAAGTAAAAACAAAGGACAGTATTAACAATGTCTTGGTTAACCTGGGAATTTGGACTCTGCTTTTTGACTTTATGAAGATATCTTACAGTGTATGAAATATCCTATGGACAGTTAACTTTTAGATTTATGACACACATTGGTTTTGCCTTTTCAATGACTCTCAGTTAGACTCTCAAGTTTCTTTACCTTCCTTTCAGAAAAGACGACGGCGGATTGACCGAAGCATGATTGGGGAGCCGACAAACTTTGTTCACACAGCTCATGTAGGGTCAGGAGACCTATTCAGTGGAATGAATTCGGTAAGCATGAGCGGATGTCTTCATAAGAATATTTCATCTTAGACAGAATACAGGACCACTGTATATGTATATTGTGGCTGAAGCAATGAGTCTTTTAACTGTAAGAAAGAATCTCTATAAAACTGAAGAACAACCTGCTAGCATCTTAATTCCAAGTCTTAAAGACTTGCATTCAAGATTATGGAGTATCATTTGCAAGATTCCTATGTTTATTGACAATGCATAGTAGATGCTGTATAAATTGTACAGGCTATGCGTAGAATGCTTTTTAAAAATTTCTTCTGAAAGCATGTATGAACCAAAATAGAGGTATATTTGAAAATATACTAGAGTATTTTAGATAAAACTTTTAAAAGTGTCTTACAATTGACTAGATTTCTTACCTTAAATGCTTTAAGCTATTTTAAATAGAGTTCATGTAAAACTCTCAGCTTGCCTTGGTTTACGGTGCACACAAATATTTTTTGGGTGTTCTTGTTGAGGTTTTTCTATACTCTAACCCTGTTTGCAGTGCGAATTATTTCCAGAGCAAGCAACGATGTCACAGGCAAGGTTTTGTGGCTTCCTGTAGATGATAGGAGCAACAAATATTTTTATCTCTCTGCAAGTGAAAAACAGAGGCTAAGATAAGATACTCAAAATGAGCTTATGAGCATAGATTTCTTTTGTACAGCTTTTGTACATATGTGAAATGTCAATCTGTTTTTAAGGTCAGTAATATGCAATCTAGAAAAGGGTTGTATGTAGATAATGATGAAAAACACTTCTTGACCTTAATAATCCTCTTTAAAGGAAAAAAAAATGTTTTGAGATTAAAATGATGAAAAATACTTCTTGACAAAGGAGAAGAAAGAGTTCTGTCAGAGGTATCAGAATAGAGAGCAGAACTGTAAAGGAAAGAGGTGGTTTTAATGTAGGCAAGTGAGGTCATTTGTAGTTTGAACTAGTTTACAGCTTACTGAGATCAGACAAAAACTTTTGTAACTCAGTAGGTATTGGGGAAGGGCAAAGCTAGAAAATCTGACATGGCAAACAGTGTGCTCCATTTTCCCAGAAACAGCATAATGGATTGGAAGTGATTTGTACTAAGACATCTGGAAGCAAGTTAAATGGACAAACACAGCTTCAACTTGATAAAATTCAGTTAAAGCTAATTACTTAATGCCATATATTACATTACTATATAAAGCCATTATAAATTGAAATAATAGTGATAATAAAGTGTCGTGGTTTAGCCCCAGCCAGCAACTAAGCACCACGCAGCCGCTCGCTCACTCCCCCTACCCCGATGGGATGGGGGAGAGAATTGGAGGAGTAAGAGTGAGAAACACTCCTGGGCTGAGATAAGAACAGTTTAATAATTGAAATAAAGTAAAATAGTAATGCTAATAGTAACAGTATAATAATGATAATAATAATAATGATACACGAAGCAAGTGATGCACAATGCAATTGCTCACCACCCGCCGACCGATACCCAGACAGTTCCCGAGCAGCGATCGCTGCTCCCCGGCCAACCCCCCCCAGTTTATATACTGAGCATGACGTCATATGGTATGGAATAGCCCTTTGGTCAGTTTGGATCAACTATTCTGGCTGTGCCCCCTCCCAGTTTCTTGTGCGCCTGGCAGAGCATGGGAAGCTGAAAAAGTCCTTGACTAGCATAAGCAGTACTCAGCAACAACTAAAAACATCAGCCTGTTATCAACATTCTTCTCCTACTAAATCCAAAACACAGCACTATGCCTGCTGTTAGGAAGAAAATTAACTCTATCCCAGCCGAAACCAGGACATAAAGTGAGCGGTTTTCTTTATTTTTTTTTTAAAGGATGGCTTTTTGCTTTTTAAATGTTTGTTGTCCCTTCTGTGAGAAGCTTCCTCATTCTCACAGCTGAGCTGCCTCATGTGAGGTTTGTGGTGATTGCCTGAAGCTTTGCTCTTTCACCTCAGCCTTTCCCCCTGCTTGCCTTCACCTTTGCCTTGCCTAATATCCAATTAATCTCTAGATAGTAGGTAATCATTATTGTTTCTCTACACAGACTTTTTCATTTTGAATGCTCATAACTGGCTATCTCTTTCTCTCACTTTTTTAACTTGGATAATATGCTGCGTCAGTGGTCAGAGTGATTTTTCTGATCCCAGATAGAAAGGATGTGTATGCAAAAAATAATCCTGTCTTTCCTCTCTCTTCAGAAGCACAAATCTCTACTTTTTCACACGGCTTATTTTCCTGCCCCTTCTGTGGTAACTTACTGTGGTAATACTGCATCCAGTCTCCTTTGCAGGGTAAATTCCAAGATTACAGTGTTAACCTCCACATTTTTTTCTGTTGCTTAATTTCCTTTATACTGTGGACATTATACTCCTTTGTGAACCTCCTTGTGCCTTCTCTCTTCTGAATACCTTAGGAGGACCTCCTGCAGTTTCATTAGCTTTTCCCATATAAATTTGGTTCTTCATCCATTATCTGTCCTGTGCTTTTTTCATCAATATTGTTCTTCATTACATACCCTTATGATTCTGAGTACAGTAGTTTTCTGACTACTGAAATATTTTGCTTTTTTGTTTGCTTTCCCTGTAGAGTGCCTAGCTCCTTTGTCAAAGGTACGCTTAAACAGCAGGAAGCCTCTCTGCACTGTTTCTTTCTCATTCCCATCACTTTATTTTATCTTCATATTCCATGGTGAAATCTCTCACTTTCTTCTTCTGCTTCGTATTCCTCAGTTTAGTCTTTCATTTCATGTATACCATCCTTTTCTTACTTTTCCCTTGTTTTCTTTCTCAAGGACCATCTGTGCCATTTCCTAATTCTAAAAGGGAAAGAAAAGTAAAGAAGGAAATTAATGAGAGAGATAAGCAGCACAACAGATTGTATGATCTTTAATTGGTGCAGTCATCTTCCCCTTCCAAAATCCTTAAATCCTTACCCTATCTAAATTAGACATAAGAGGGAAGAACCTTGCTGTCATGTATCATCAAAGGAAGGCAATGGCATCTCTGGGGAAGAAAAAAATTTCATTTCATGGTGCTTGTTCTTGTAGCTCAGACTGCCTCAAAAGGAGGATGCTTCAGAAGGAATACCACCTTATAAGACTACAATCGTTAGACCTGCTTTTTGCTCAGTATTTTTAACATTGTATGTCTCCTGTATAAATTTTCATATACAAAATAGCCACTGAACTATTAATGCAGTCAAGTTCAATTTGCTGCATTCTTTTTGCTTTAGGTGTAACAGCCTCTGCATTTTAGACTGATACTTCCTTACCCACTAACACAAACATCTATGTGTGTGTCTCAAGTACAAGAGAAATTGTTCTAACCTTTAGAAGAAGTACTCATAAAAATTTACACTTTAGCCTCCTTGCAATTTGTCTTGATTTGCTGTTCTCCAAAATTTTAAAGTCATATAGGCAAGTGGTCAGGCTGGAAGGTGATATGGCCTGGAGATGTTTTTCTACCTCTTTTTTTACTAGAGGCAGGGTTCATTCAGATGAAATTAATGCCATCCTCAAGTCATTGTGAATACATCTACCTGTAGATTAATTATTTTCTGAGGGAAAAAAGATGACATTCAAATTCCTTTTGTTCCCACGAGCAACAGAAGATGCTTGGTGAAGAAGATGACCAGCTTGGTGAAATGTGAAGGTTCATAAACACCACCCCATGAATGTGGTTGCACTTTTCCACACTTCCGTACTGAGTTTGTAGTCTCTGATGTCAGACCCACTAGAGTATTGGCTCTGAACACTTTTCCCTGAAAAAACATTGCTTTGCTGCAGGTGTATCACTTACTTGAGTAAAGTGCCTAGATAGAAAATAATTTTACATTGTGCTGCTTAAATACATAAAAATCAGATCTTTTGTGTGGCACTGCAATATGCCATACTGTTGAAGACAAAGATCCTAAACTAGGCTCTTTTTTTTACATTGGTTTGAGAAACAGTGTGTAAGAAAGAGTTGTGCTGATGCATTTTGTGTGTGTGCATGTGTTTTGCTTTGCTGTGGAAAAGAATATACTTCTTTTGTCTTTGTAGACAGGGAAAATATTGTGTAAGGTACTTGGAAATATTTCTGCATTGCTGTTTTAATACAGCTTTCTAGTGATGTTTAGAGGTCTCTGTGAAGGCACATAAGTGTAATAATAATTGCAAGTCGTGCCCTGCAGGCATAGGCTTTGATGCAAGTTCAATTTCAGAAGCTGTAGCCTTGAATGAGTATGTTATTTTGTGCTCATTGTGTACTTCTTATGTATGCTCTGGGGTGCAGAGAGAAAAAGGCCAAACCTTTAAGGTTGGAGTTGTCTTCCTGCAGGCACTTGGAGATGGTTATTTTGACTCATGCAACACAAGCAGGAAAGAACTATTGATTCCATTCCTTTTTGTTGATAAAGGCAATGAAAGCTGTAGAGGGATGTGCCTGTCTTTGGAGGGGGGGGGGTGTCTTTATGTATTTATTTGCATCAGGCTAAAAATACCTTCAAGTAAGCTATTTCTAGGGAAGTTGATAGATTGAGTATGATTTAAACAATAAATACCCTGCCATTTAAAGGAATAGTAGCAATTAAGGAAAGCAGTATATGCTGCTACGTAAATAGATAAATAAAAAACCTTCCACAAAGCAAAAGCTCGTTTTTGGTTTAGAAAGTCCTTTTTTAATTACCTGAAGTTACTCATGCAGTGCAGATACTATCCAGATATTTTGTAAGTTGTCTGTTATATTTTTAACGTAATGCTGTTAACTCCTCTGGTTTATCATACTTGGCAAGGAACATTTTCCATATAACAAGATAAATTATAGCTTGTCAGATGGAGTGGAGTTGGACACCAGTAAGAGATTTCATTAATTTTTTTTTGAGTAATGAAGCAGGTCAGTGAAAGCCTGAATCAGCCAGTTTTCCTTGGGAGAGAGGAAAAACTTCTGCCTCGGCACCAGTTCTTCCATCTCTCCTGCTGAGCTGCCTGCAGAAGTGAAAATTCCAGCAAGCCTACACTGCACATGTCCTCATGCAAAAGTAATGTAGCTTTAATGGTAACGGGGTACTTGAAAACCAAACCTAAACAAGAAATAAAATTGGAAGCAAGAAGACGCCGTAGCTCACTAACTGGCTTTGTTGTTTTCTCTGCCCCCCTTTCCCTTCTGTCACCAGGTCAGCTCAATTCAGAACCAAATGCAGTCCAAGGGAGGCTATGGAGGTGGCATGTCTGCAAATGTTCAGATGCAGCTTGTAGATACAAAGGCAGGATAACCTTGGGGAAACCTTTCCAGTAAGTATTGCACTCTGCTTTCCTAGGCACTGTTATAGTAGTAGGAAGAACAATCATACTACTTCATAATTACCTCCCTATAAATAGCTGTGTCTTTATGATGCCCAATTTTAAAAGGCATTTCTGAGTAAAAAATTCAATATCATATGAGCGTGTTAATTTTTTTTACAGAATGAACAAGAAGTTGACCTGACTACATCAGTCTGTCTGTAAGCCTGCTTTATAACTAAGATGATATTGTAGGCAAATCTTTGCAAATGAAGTTAGTTGTATAATAAATTTCAGAAGAATTTTGTGATATGATTAGGGTACCATTTTTGCAACAGTTCCATCCTTTTCATCATTATATATATGGTGTTAATGAATAGCAATGTTACAGTAGGAAAATGGTCACTCAGAACGTTCAAAACTCAGTTTAATGTGTTTTCTGTCTTCCAGGTTTATGTGAGTTCCTGTATCTTCTTTCCTGTGTCCCTTCTTTTGCCTTGGTGACTGCTTTCTGTGCTCATGATGAGAGAAGTGATGGCTGATTGTTCACCCTTTGTGATTACTCCAGTGAAAAGTTGCTGTTCTGCTGTGATGATGCCATTTATCAGATTGGTCCAACCGTGCCTTTCAGTGGCATGCACACATTGGCCTCTACCAGTATCATGGACATAGAGCTGTTTAGGATTGTTTTTAGCTTTTTGTTTGTTTTAAGGCAAATTAAAGCACCAACCTGAGCTTCCCTCATCCCTCACAAATACTAATACACAACATTCTGTTGCTTTTTAGTCTTTAAATCTTTTCTCTACTCAAGTAATTTAGAAATGAGTGAGTTTCCATTAACATCTTCAATCGTCTATATTGTTTATACCCATTTTTGAAAGGTCTGGGACCTGCAAGCACAAATGATTATTTCATACAAAATCAGCAGAGTAGATGACCGCATGCTTTGTGAGGTTGCTTTGTATGGTGGCCTGCTTGGTGCTAGGACAATAAAAAAAAATTGCTTATTGCAGACTGGTGAAAAATGTTGCTGTGGCACCAAGTCATGCCTGTTTCTGAAAAAGGACTTGTAACTTATCTGCTTCAGAGTTATGTCTTTATTTTAGTTTTTATCCATTGGTCTTGAATAATAAAGAGACAGCTTGCATTCATGAGGCATTTGTTGTAAATGTTCAGTATATTTATTTTGAAAGAGCTGACCTTGAGACTGTAAACCAGTGTAGTACCGTATCTAAGTGTTGTGGAAGCGCTTTAGTCTATTTAAAAAAGAAAAGCATCATGTTTGGCTGCTTCTTTACAATTTTTCTTAATTTTAGGCTGTATGGTCATTTCCAGTAGCAGCATGTCAGACTGCCTGCAATATTAGCTGAAAAGTTTAGTAGACCTCTCTAAGTAGTTGGCAGTTTCTGTGTACTAAATATTTAGGGGCCATGGAAGTTGCTAAGAGCAACATACTAATCTGGCAGAACAGATGCCAATGAAAACAACATACAGGGTGACTTTTTAGTAAGTCAGTAAAACGCCTTTTGCTCAGGTTCCAAAGCATGTTTCTTTCACACGTTGTGAAATTGTATTTTAATATTGCACTGTTTTCAGATTATCTCTGTAAATGGTTCCCTTTTTTTCCTCCTTGTTGATGGTTCAAGAGAAGTCAATGATTTGAGTCCTGGTTGAGTTAAATTTTTATGTGGGGAAAAAAAAATCCAAGCAAATAAGGCATAACTGAGCCTAGTCAGATCCATTTTTATACAGAGACACGCATGTGTTCATAAATATAGATTGCTGTCATAAATGATTCTTTATTCTTTTTCCATCCTTTCCCTGATTTCACATTGCAACAGCTGTCAGGTTGATTTAAACATGTATGAACCTACCTACTCTTCTCTCTCAGTTTGCAAACAACACAGAAAATACAGGGCCATGTAGGTAGTTTGCCTTCCCTAAGTTGTATTCCAGTGGTAGGTGTCAATTACCTGGTTGAATAGTTCAAATTAGGTTGGATAGTCTTCACTGATAAAGGTACTGATTCGTGACGACAGAAGATCAAGATGTTCAATTGTCTGGGTGCATAAACACATGGCAGTGCAGCGATACATATTTTTTTTAGGGTCAACATTTCCAGTGCCACTTTATCAATGAGTCTTAAATATACTATGATTACAAAATTATTTGAACTTTGTCATTGGTAATAGTGGCTTAAATTTGCTTGCCAAACCAATCTTGCACTTGTCAAAATGTTTTCAGCTCAATAGCCAGGAAAAAAAAATTGACATATTTTTATAACAGACATACTTTTTTTGTACATTGTGTTCATTCTTGAATAAAGTAAGTTCAGTGTTGGCTTGTAGATATTAAAAGGAAAGTATTGACTTTGATTCAATAAATGTTTTCTTTCAGTTGGTGGCCTATCCTTTTTCTTTTTCATAAGTTACATGTGCATTACAAAAACAGTTGCAGCCTATGGACAAATTTGTGGTGAAAATTCTCTGAAGAGTAACCTATTAGTGTCAATAAGTAATTTGCAGGCTTGAGGTTTTTTTCATGCCACTTGACCCTTTTGTTGCCAAGTGGATTAAGCCATAGTTTTATTGGAAGTTTTGTTGCATTAATTTAGCATGTATACCATGGGCTTCTGCAAGGATCTTCGATGGAAGGTTTCTTAAAAAACAACATTGGAAACATTCATATACAGGATTTCTTTCCTTTTGACTGCAGCTGGTATGTGTGTTACTTTCTTGATTGTGATGCAGATTACTGTGGTGACCAGTAGAAGACTTAATTGTACAACTAATCATAATGTGCACATCTGCATTAAATATACCTGCAAGGCACAATATTGTCTACTCTGTATTTGGCTCAATTAATTTTTATATTTGACACTCTCAAAGTTAATTCCTTAAGCACTAATTTCCTACTGTAAACTTCATACTAAATTGTTTTAAAGACTGATTATGAACTCTTGAACTTGTGGAAAGTTCTTGAAATTGCCAATTGAGGAAAAAAGATAGTTGTAAAGGAAAAGAAAGATCAAGATAAAGCCATGAGATATCAATCAACTAGAGGGTTCTTTTCTTTAATTGCTGAGGTTATAGAAGCTTAGTTCTGTCTACAAAGGTGTGTCTTGAAGAGCAGATGTTTTAATATAACCATCTATAAAAATAAAGGGGTTTGACCTCCTAAAGGAGGAGCCAGCCTGTTTAGACATAGTCTTTAGTTTGTTTAGCTGCCTCAAGCAGTTGTATAAGTCAATTCATCCTTTTTGTGCCTTTTTTAAGTGAGAAGGTGCTGCATTAGCAATTAAGTCTCTGAACGTAGTCTTGGTCCCAAGTAGCACTGTACTCCGCCATGATTTGGTATACCAAAAAACCCCCACCCTTCAGATCCAGAAAACTAAGTTGGTAGGAAATCTTGCCCTGTGTAGATAATGACACATTCTTACCAAGTACAATACATGTTTCATCACAACACAACTATTCTGATTTCAGTATTCCTTGCCTCTTTTTTTTTTTTTTGGGGGGGGGGGGGGGGGAGGGGGGGGAGCAGGGGAGAGGCAGTTAAATACAATATTGATTTTCAAAGTCTAGTTTTTAAAGCTATTCCTATTTTGTGTGTATGCATGTGACTAGGACCCCTTCCGAGAGAATGGAAAGTGATTTTTGAGCTTCATAAGGATTCTATAGATCTTCAGCACTTTATTTTATTTCCTGTTCTCCATCTTCTGTGAAGATCTCTGCATGCCACTCAGAGTTTTCACTAATTGACTGGACTTTCTTTATATGCATATGCCTTTAAAAAAATTAAAAGTACTATGTCCCCTTCTGAAACTAGTAGGAAGCAGTATAGGGTTTACCAAAGAAAGTTTATTAGGTTTTTGTTTTTGTGAAAACAGATAAATGGAAGAGGCCTGGGTAGTACACATTCCCACAGATCAAAAGCTTTTGGTGAGGATTTCACACTGTGATCCTGGATTTTGCAGTTTGGGAATATTGCATTTATTTGAATTTCAACAGTAAAATTCCCATTCCTTATTCCATATCCCTTTTTCTGTGATCACAGCTAATCACAGAAGACTATGCACAATCATGCTTTATTATTATTATATTATGCACTATTTACTCTTTAACATTTTCTTATGCCTTAAAAACAGTTGTTAATGTGATAGAATGATGAAATCTGGACTAAAGTGCAGATTTAGTGGTATAATGCAATTCCATGAGCACAAACAGTTACAACAGGACACAAAACACTTCCAGAGTGAAAGATGTTATAGGCCTAGTATTGGGGATGAGAGTTTGAGGCTTCTTTTGTATTAAGTCTATAAAAACATGCTGGTTGCAGCCACAGGCTACAACTTCCCTATAAAACTATTCTACTAATGGTAAGAAGATGTAAAAATGATAATCAGCATAGCACTACCTTATTTCTGAAGTTCACCTGCTTGAGACTGATGGCGCATGCAACGTGTGCCACAGGGAAGTTAAGAGATACTGAGTTAAGGGAATTGCCAAGCAGTGAGCAAGATTCCCCAGAATGAGACGTAATGAAAATTTAACCATTTCCTCCTGGCAAAAATCTGTGCATCAAAGTAGCAATAGGTAAATTTTAGATGGTTCTTTCAATGTTTGCTGTTAGGTGATTAGCAGCAATCTCTGTGCATAGACACGATAAGCCAGCATAACTGGAAGTTATCATGAATTTGAACAAATAACATTCTCTAAGTGCAAGCCATATTTCTTGAATCATCACTGTGAATGTATCGTTCTGGCTAGATTCCTTGAAAATCAAGAAAACACATGACCAGACAAAACACAGCAAAACATTCTTCTCACTCTTGATACATGTCCTACCCTATGCAACATTGGCAGATATTTAAACAGTATTTTGGTGAGCCTGTTTTAAAAGTTTATGTAATGGAGAAGAATTGTATGTGCTTTTCAGTATTTCCAAAGAAGAAAACCCATTTACTTTCACTGTATTCATGGCATGAAGCTAAGTGCTCATACATGTGGACCTCGTCACTTAACATTATTAAATCAGCTATAAATTATTTTAAAATGTGCACTACTCAATAAATAAATTGACAAGTATTTAATTTTATTTAGCATCCCAAATAATAATGATGTAGTCCTGACTGTAGATCCATATACAGTGACTGTGACATTAAAGCTTATTGAAAATTATATCCTGGCTGTGCCAATGATCAGTAGAGTAGAAGTACTTCAAAGGCATACCAGTAAAACTGACTGGGACTGGTCCCATCTACTTACTCTCACAGTCTGTGCTAGCACTGATGCTGATTTGGCTGCTCAGCTGACTGTATTGGGTACTGGCCTATAGTAAAGGTGGTTTTTTGGCCAAATTGGTTAGTTTTAACCTGGATTAGTTTCTTAATGCTTATTCACAGTAAGCATGGGAGTGAGTGGCGTGGGATCAGAAGTAATCTGTTATGGGGAACATTGATAGCTTAACCTGGCTGTGGAAAAACATCAAGCTTTCTGAATTAAAAAAAAAACCAAACACAGAACATTCAGCCAGTGACAAAGCTTAGCCGCAGCTGGGACTGTGAATATGTCTACTGAAAGTTACTTCCACCTTTTGGGAGCTCTATTTCCATTTGTTGGGCTCACCAGCTTTGCCGAGGTTATTCTGGTTTGGGGGCACAGAGCATGTTGAACACATTGCCAAATGGTCAACTACATCATCACCGAGAGTCAGCCAACCTCAGGCAGTATGATTCATTTCTGCCCTCAGTGTTAATTCCATCTATCACCACTATGCAAGACATGCCTTTCTGCCTTCACACAAGCTAACAGGAACAGTAAGTTCAGACTTCAAGCAGGTTTCCTATTAAGCCCAGAAAACACAGGGGGCTGGTGGAGTTGGCAATAATTTGCTGGATACGAAGCTTGCTTAGAATCATAGAATCGTTTAGGTTGGAAAAGACCTTGAAGATTATCAAGTCCAACCATTAACCTAACACTACCAAGTCCACCACTAAACCAATTAATGTTTATATGTCTTAGAAAACTTCAGTTACTGTTCATCTCCAGCTCTATCAATCTGAAAGTGTCACCAGGAAGGGCAAAGACGAGACAGGGGAAGGGGAGGTTAACATAAAGAGCTTATAAAGCCACAGCACGAGAAAAAGACAGCTTTAAGGAAAAGCATGCCT